CAATTTGTGACAAAATGTTGTTCATCTTCAACATGGTCATTGTCGCACATATTGCAGACTCTGTCTTTAAAATCCAATCCTGTATGCCGGCCTGTTTCAATTTTCAGACAGTGGTTGCCAAGTCTAAATTTTGTTAAGGATTTGCGAAGTTCACTGTTTTTCATAATTGTTAAGTAGTTTTCTTGTTCTATTTTGGTTTTAAAAAGTTTGTAGGTTCTTAGTTTATTTTTAGAATTTGATTTTTTCCTATTGTCATTATTTATTTCATTTTTCCACTCAGTTGTAAACTCTTCTTTTAATTTCTCATCAATTGTTTTTAATTTTGATAATGAGATAATATTTGTTTCATTTAAAAGATAAGAATGGTTAATATTATTTAATATCAGATCAAGTTTTTTAAACCATTTACTTTTAATAATTTTATTGACATAGTATGCTTCTTGAAGTAGAGTATTTGTGGAATTTGCAATACGATTGGCATATTTTATCATTTGTTTCTTAATAAAAGAGTCAAGAGGTAATTTTCCCAATTCACTATATATTGCCATGATTGGTGTATTTTTTGAGATACCAAGAATGTACCGATAGTATGTAAGCTGAACATCCTCTACAATTGATTTTGTAGAGCTTTCTTCTCCCCAAATGTCACTCCCATACACAATAACTGGTCTGATAAGTTACATGTATAAAGTTAAGTATAATAAGTTAAAATAAGTTAAGTATAAAGTACATGTATGTGCCAAATTTGAATGAAAACTGACAGAGCACGTCCAAGATACAGCATAAAAAAACAAAAACAAGATGCCTGCCAGTTGACCATCTTTGATCCAATTGTGAAATAAATGGTCATGGACATGTATCCTAACATGTATAATCTATGTACCAAGTTTGAATGACAACTGACAAAGCATGTCCAAAATACAACATTTTCAAAAAACAAGATGGCTGCCAGTCGGCCATTTTGAATCGAATCGCTAAACTACTGCATGTGCATATGTCCCACATAAGGTACTAAGCACATGCAAAGAATGAATGGAATTGGTCCACAGGATTCTAAAATATGACGGACAGACTGACGCACGGACAGATGGACACACGGACGGTCGGACGGACTCAGGAACTCACGGACGGTCGGGG